TACATTCTGTTTATCATTTACATATTAATAAAACATTTTTTAAATGAAGGCTTTCTTCTACTAAACTTTTTGTCATTCCGTCACGGTCATTCCGTCACAGCAAATAGATGTTAATAACTGCTAGCCAACCTGAGGTTAATTTTCCAAATTCACATTTTACATCGCTTACACATTATACTAAAAGTATAAAATAGTTCAGAAAACAAATAGCTGCAAAATTCGCAGAAACTACCAGTTCTAAGCGGCATGCCAAAAACTTGGTTGCCAAAATGTCATTCCGCCACGCAAATAAAAAGTTCGTAAAATTAAAAGTAAAAAAGATAGAAAATCCTGCTTTTTTAGTTTATGAAGCGCATTATGCCAATAATAATGATATGCATGAGAAAAATTTTTTTATTTGAAATTAGATACATAGTTATTTTGCAAGTCAAAATGTCATTCCGTCACATATGGAATTGCCCTACTAAGCAAAATTATTTATGGTCACTAATAGATCTTAACTGAATCGTAAGGAAAACACAGGGTTATTCATAATTCCCTCCGGGGTTTCGAAGCGTTATAGTAAAAAAAAAGAAGACGAATATGAATAAAAAAGAAACAAATGAAATTATTCCGAAACTATTCAAGTTTTACTTACATATGCTACAGGTGTTCTATGTGTGAACCCTTGATTACACAGCATACATCAATGCGATAGTCCAGTTCCTGCCTGGAGGGAATTATGAATAACCCTGTAGAATCATTCAAGATCTTTCATGCTATTTACCAACTAAATTTGACTCAAAATTGGTAAGCGAAAATATTCAATTCTAGCTGCGAACTCCCCAAATTTGATATAACAATGTATCATCAATGTTAAATGATATTTAAAAAAAATATTATTAAGAAAAATTAAATACATTCACAATTAGTTCCTAATGAAATTATAAGAGAAATATAATCATGCGAGAAGATACATTATTTACCAATCAAATTTGACTCATAATAAGCATTTAATTTAAAGAATTGAATGGTAAACATGGTAATTAGGGTTACAAGCCTAAGCAAACTGAATTTTTGATAGTACTGATATATTTTAAATGAAGACGAATATATATGTTTCAGCTTTAGTAGAAAAAAAAGTTTTATGCTAAAAAGCAGCAATTTTTCAGATTTTGGTGAGATATAGTGAACAGGGTTCTCAGGGTTGGTGAGATATAGTGAACAGGGTTCTCAGTCCCCTATACGAATAAAAATGCTTTTAAATATTAGCCGTTTTTTTTTTCATCTCATTTGATTTATCAAAAAAATGCATAGGAAACAATACTTCACTTGTTTGCATATCAATGCAAAATGTGTAAATATGTGCAAGTACTAAATTGTACGTTTTGTACATAAAACGCTTATAAATTCTAAACTATTTGCCTGGTAGTTTTGGGATTGCCTTCATTTATTTAAGAGTGGAGAATTATGTAGAAAAATATATGTTCAGATTGTCCCTGAATAGCACTTTAAAGAGCATACATAAGTACATGTAAAAAAAAATTTAAATTTTTTAGAAGTACTCTTGAAATAACTTTTGAAATATTTGTTATATTGACTTGTTAATAGTTTCATTTGATTCAGCGTAAAAAAATACACAAAAAGCGATGCCTCACTTGTCTAGATAGATATAGCAGATGCATAAATTGTCGTTACAAATAAAAATTAATACTATTTGCACATAAAACCCGTATAACATCTTAACTATTAGTCTAATCGTTTCGAGATTGATATAATTTAATTCAGTGCCAAAAACACGTCGGACACAATGTCCCACTTGCCTTTCTAGAAGAAATCCAATTCTCCACTCATATCACATCCATTTTCCTCAAAAAAGAAGAAGTGTGCAGAGAAGAGTAAGCAAATTTTTAAGAATAATTTAGAATAACATAACAATGCTTTCCCTGAAAAAATATGTTAGAAATTAATTTTTTTCGAAGAAAATGTCTAATTTCATTGAACTAAATCTAATTAAGTGAAAAGTAATGGAATACCATTCCAACAGCAGATGCTCACTTTAAAAAAAAAATTTGTGATTACCACACGAGCAATTTTGGGGTCATTTTCATAACACTTTTTAAAAAAAATTTAATTACCTAAAAATACTGCTTGCGATGTAAACTTACTAACTCTGTTTTCTTCATTCAATAAAAAATTTATTCTGTGATAAAAATTTTGGGAAGAGAGTTCCATACCTGCCAACTTGTACGGTCATTGAAAAAGATTTTACAAAGTGGTAGTCAAACAACAATTAAGTTTGGAAGAACTTTCCGAAACAAAAAACTATTAAGACATCTATAAGCATTATTAGCTAACAAATATATCGTATCTACATATTTTTTTAAAATTCTTGATTCGTCGTATTTGATTAAAAAGTTTTCTTGAAACTTTAAACTTCACGATTTAATTCTCTAAAACGCTAATGTTGCTACCACTATTCTCAAAGGCCGTACAAGTTGGCAGCTATGTAGTTACTAGAAAAATTTATTTTTGTTGTTTAATTTTAGGTTTTTACCACACAGCTGGAAGTCTTCTATTTAAAGACGTAATTGGAACTGAGGATGCTCCATGTGTAGCTCTTTTAAAAAAAGCTGGAGGAATATTTTTAGCTACGACTAATTGCCCAGAATTCGCTTGTTCTATTGAGACAGCAAATTATCTTCATGGAAGAACATGCAACCCCTATGATACAACAAAAACATGTGGTGGCAGCTCTGGTATGTGTAGTTAAATAGAATTAATTTAAAAAGCCTTATATATTCTCTACCATTATTAGCATACCTGCCAACTTTTAATCTTTTCGGGGATGATCTTCCCCAGTGGTAAAATTATGTACAGCATACCTGCCAACTTTTAATCTTTTCGAGGATGATTTTCCCCAGTGGTAAAATTATGTACAGCATACCTGCCAACTTTTAACCTTTTCGGGGATGATTTTCCCCAGTGGTAAAATTATGTACAGCATACCTGCCAACTTTTAATCTTTTCGAGGATGATTTTCTCCAGTGGTAAAATTATGTACAGCATACATACCTGCCAACTCTTCCGGGTTTTCCGGAAGATTTTATTTTCATATTTAAAGTGGTAGTAATACTCATGTTATTCCAATTAACTTTATAAATTATAATGATAATTATAAATTAGTATGACCACCACTACATATAAATAATTACAATAAATATATAAAAGCATAATAAACCTTGCGCAAGCGAATTTCAACGGGATCAAAGTATAAAAAAATATTTGAGTCAGATTGTTTTTCGTTAATTGTATTACAACCACTCTGAAAGTCCATTCTCGGGAAGAGTGAAAGTTGGCAGGTATGAGCATACCTGCCAAATTTTAATCTTTTCGAGGATGATTTTCCCGAGTGGTAAAATTATGTACAGCATACCGGCCATTTTGTACGGTCGTTGAAAAAGAGTTTACAAAGTAGTAGTAAAACAACAATTAAGTTTGGAAGAATTTTCTAAAAAAATAAATAAAACTATTAAGACATTTATAAACAACGTATCAAAGATAGACAAATAGATCTTATCTACATATATCTAATCTACATATATTTTCTTAAATTATTCATTGAAGAGTAGTTTAGAGATTTTTTGGAAACTGTGAACTCCAAGATTTAATAAGCCAAAGCGCAAATGTTTCCACCATTAAGAAAATTAATTCTCCACGACCGTAGAAGTTGGCAGCTATGGTACAATCCTTTAGAGAAATTTATTTTTTTTTAGTTTGTGAGAGCTTATACACACCCTAAATTTAACTACCACTTTTATTAATAATCTTTAATTAATGTTTACAAAATAAAATTGTCAAATATGTATCGGGTTTTTTTATTTGTAGCAATGTATTTTTTTAGTTTGAGAGAGCTTAAACACACTATAAATTTTACTACTACTTTAAGTATAACAATAGTAAACTTTAACATAAAAATTGACAAAAAATTAAAAACTAAGTCGTTAATTTGTATCACTTTTTTAACGCGTTGAATGCCGAGGATAAATCGGAACTTTTAATTTTATTTTATCATTGCTGAATTTCGGGCAAAATAAATAAAAAGAAATTTTAAACTTTGTTTTATCTATCCGCTTATGAATAAAAAATATTTGATGACCTAAATCTTAAGAATCTTAAGCAAAAGTACAAACGTGTCTTATAATAACTAAAAATTAATAATACTCAAATGAGCACCCTTTCGGATTTTTTTAAGATATTATTACATTTGTACAGTTTTAAAAATTAAAATGTTGAAAATCATGCTACAAATAAGCGGTAGATTTGTTATTTTTGCTGAAATCGTTTTTTTATTTCTCAATTTTTTGTAATTTTGCACACGTCCACAGGAAGCTTCCCGAAATTTTACAACATACGAGCACACACTATTTGCACATAAATAATGTAGAGGTAAGAAAATAATTTAAAAAAATTAAATAACCCCGAATGATAATGAAGTGTTTTTGAGAAAAACTTAGATTTCCGAACACTTTAACTGATTCAGCATTGCTTTTTTTTTAAATTAAATATTAGTGGCAGGCTCCCAAACGTACTCGCCAATTACTACGGAATTTTCTAATTTTCGAAAAAAAAAATTTCTTAGTGGTAGTAAAGTTAAAATTATTAATACATTACCATTACGCCTTATACAGTCTACTTTATAGAGTGGTAGCCAATTTGAATCTAAATCTTTTAGAATTTTGCCAACAGTTTAAAAGCCTCACCATAAGTGGATATGATTAAAGTGGTGTCTTACATAAACTTTTGAATCATTTACATACAGTGGTGGGGAAAATAACTTTAAATCGAGTTCACAAAACTAAGAGTCAAACATTTATACATTAGCCGGCCAGGTGGCCGAGTGGTTAGCGTATCTGACTGCGGAGCCAATGGCCACGGGTTCGAATCCCGCTCTGGGCATGGATGTTTCTCTCTCTGTGTTGTCTTCTGTTGTGTGAATGAGTGAATGTGGCCCACCCTATGAACGAGTTTGTGGCAGTATGGCGTGGGTAACGTTGCTCGCCTCCGTGACTTTGGTTCACAGGTGCCCACTGGGTAACGCTAAATGAGTAACAATTCCGGCATCTTCTATGGTGAAGAACGAAAAGTTCAGTTCCTGCCGTTTCTTCAAAAAAAAAACATTTATACATCAACTTCGTTCGAAGAAATTTAAATAAATAAGAATTAAATCAATGTTTTCCACCACTACTACTAATTTATTTTTAACAAATATTTGAAAAATTAGATTGTCAAATTATTATTTTTTTAAGCTCTAATAAACATTTTATGAAGATTCTCAATGCTACTGAAAAACTTTTAAATTTAACTTCTATTTGAGCAATAAGTTTCTCAGGCGTTTTTCATCCATTTATATTACCCATTTATACCCATTATACACCCATTTATACACCCATTTATAACTCATTTTAGATTAAGCAAGTAAATTTTATAAAACATGCTTAAATTACTTCAAAATAACTTAATTACTTTAAAATAATTAAAATAAATTTCCTGCGTGAAAAAACAATGATGCTTAGCAGATTAGATTAAGCATAAAATACTTTATGAAATGATGATACAAAGATGCGTAATTGTAATGATACATAATGGCAATGGTGCATAAATAGTAATGGTTAATAAAATGATTTATTTATTTACAGATCTTGCAACTTTAAAACATAGTAGAAACATTTGATTAATCTGAAGTGGAATAATTATACATTTTTAGAAAGTCGCATTTGTCAACAACCGTTTCAAGTTGAAAACTTGGTGTATATTAAAATTTTCTCGATAAAAAGTGTTTACTCCATTTGAATTACTAATATATTACAGATGTCTTCAAAACCTTTAAAAAATAGCAGAAAAATAAAGTTAGAGTGAAATACGAGTCCAAGTGTCAGTAAAAAAAATTATTATTGAAATAGTGTATTTAAGCATCTTTGGCTGAGAAGGAGTTTCAAACTTTTTTGGTAGATACAACATTAATTAAGGCAGCTATATAATTATACACTCATGGACAAAAAAAATCAGTGCACCAAAAAGGAGTCGAAATTTTACATACGTAATGACTACTTTGACATAAGTAAATGATTAGAAAATCAAGGAAAAACGATAATTTTTGATTTTCTAATCATTTACTTATAAATATCAAAGTAGTCATTATGTATGTAAAATTCGTTTCATTTTGACGTCTCCATCTTTGTGCGCTAATTTTTTTTGTCCACGAGTGTATATATATAAATCCCTTTTTGCTACCATTTGAACAAAAAATTCTAGATCATAGCAACACTAAAAACCGGACCATACTAGGATAGAATGCTTTTAGTCTGGTGTAACGGAGAAAATATGTCCGGTCGAAGCGAAATTGGACTTGATTATGTAAGTTGGTTAGTTCATAACGCTTTATCTAACTTTCAAGTATATCTTGTTCCACAGTAATTCTTTCTCAGTGGTTTTGGTAATTATAGCGTAGTTTGATTAATATTAATGGTGGATTAATAACGGATAAATAATAAACTGTACTCAGAATTCGAATTCTGTGTACAATTTATTATTTATCCATTTTAATGACTCAACTTTGAAATGATTATATTAATGTAGGGGGAGAAGCTGCCCTAATAGCTGCCGCTGGATCAGTGATTGGACTAGGAAGTGACATTTATGGTAGTAACCGTATTCCGGCAAGCAATTGTAGCACTTTTGGATGCAAGCCAACAAGAGGTTTGTGATGAAAATGATTACTGATTTCTTAAAGCAGGTAAGATACGGGCTGACACTACTGAATGACCAGTTTTTAAAAAATTTCTATTTTTGATCTATTATACATGTTAAAGTAAGTAAAGTGCAAAATTAAAAATATCAATTTTTTTTTCCAGTTTGATGTGTGTGTCCCCCTAGCATTTAATTTTTATGTAATCAAGCTCATTCAATACTTAGTTTTAGTTACGCACAGTCATAATGGTTCCTAAGTTTCAGTCACAATGGTTCGTCTTAGTCATAATAGTTCGTCTCTCGTTCTTAGAGTTCTTGCAGTTTTTTCAGCATCAGTAGTTCATTAAGTGTCCTTGGGTGTACAAGTGACAAATGATTTACCCTTAATGACATCGTCACCAATGTCCCCAGACCTTAACTCTAGAGGCTTCTTTTTATAGGGGGGTGACTGAAAAATCAAGTTTTTAATTTGTTGATGATAAAAAAAATATTTTCACTCATTTCTATATACCAAACTCTATATAAAGCAGGATTTTTATAAATATGTATGTATGCGCATTATACGAATCTGCAATTCTGAATCAACCTGGACAAAATTTAGTGTAAATACGTTCAAAGATACAGCGATATTAAAACTCTCTCCGACCATCGATTCTTGCGCTACATCAAAAATAATGAGTTTTTCATAAGACTTGATGGATATTTTATGTAGAGTCGTGATGGCTCAGGGGAAGAGAGAGTTTGCCTTCCAATGAAGTAAACCGGGTTTGAATCTCAACGATGGCTGGTCGATACTGTCACATATACACTTAATGTAATGTGACAATTTTATTTCTAATTTTATTTAAGCCTTCAATTTTTCTTTAAACGTTATTCCTTTTTTTTTATTTTAGCAATCTTTTTAACTTTCTTGTTGACCTTTCTCACGGTCGTTGCGGTCATCGCACTTCCTGTGGGGAAAGTCAACCAACCCCTCTACTCACGCCTTTCCTTTTCTTCCTTTAATTTTTAGGGGGGCTAACTAGCCAATCCCTTTACTTTAAATTTCAAACTCTCCGCCTCTTTAATTTTAATTGGTCGTAGTTTTTCTGGTCTACCCCAGTTAAGGAATTTTTAAGTTTTTTTTGAAGACATTCTTTTTCTCTCGAGCCTTCTGGCTGGTTCTGTTTTTCTCCGAGATGCGGACTTCGGTCCGTATCGAGGGATTTCTTTTCACATTTTTTTTAAACCTTTGTCTTAAATTAAATGCATAATTATAATCAATTTCTGTAAATTTGAAATCAACATTTTATACCTTTAATTTTCTTTAATCTCGAATTTAAGCTTTCTTTCCATATTTATTTTAACGTTTAAATTACTCGTTCTTATATAACTTACTTTTATCTATGACGCCTTCTTTTTTTTATTCTCCTATCACCCATTTCAATAAAATGCCTTGTGTTGGTAGATGTGGTGAAAGATGTATGTTACTAAATAAAATGATATGCTAATAATTTAATCTTGTGCTGGAGAATTTATTTGCCTCTATTTTCATGATTTATCATGTTATCCTATGTGTGTATGGTGAGTACCCTTTTATTATTGTTTTGGGCATTGTANTTCGTTTCATTTTGACGACTCCATCTTTGTGCGCTAATTTTTTTGTCCACGAGTGTATATATATATAAATCTCTTTTTGCTATCATTTGAACAAAAAATTCCAGATCATAGCAACACTAAAAACCGGACCATACTAGGCTAGAATGCTTTTAGTCTGGTGCAACGGAGAAAATATGTCCGGTCGAAGCGAAATTGGACTTGATTATGTAAGTTGGTTGGTTAGTTCATAACGCTTTATCTTACTTTCAAGTATATTTTGTTTCACAGTAATTCTTTCTCAGGGGTTTTGGTAATTATAGCGTAGTTTGATTAATATTATTGGTGGATTAAAAACGGATAAATAATAAACTGTACACAGAATTCGAATTCTGTGCACAATTTATTATTTATCCATTTTAATGACTCAACTTTGAAATGATTATCTTAATGTAGGGGGAGAAGCTGCACTAATAGCTGCCGCTGGATCAGTGATTGGATTAGGAAGTGACATTTATGGTAGTAACCGTATTCCGGCAAGCAATTGTTGCATTTTCGGATGCAAGCCAACAAGAGGTTTGTGATAAAAATGATTACTGATTTCTTAAAGCAGGTAAAATATGGGCTGACATTACTGAATGACCAGTTTTTAAAAATTTCTGTTTTTGATCTATTATACATATTAAAGTAAGTAAAGTGCAAACTTAAAAATATCAAATTTTTTTAGTTTGATGTGTGTGTGTCCCTAACATTTAATTTTTATGTAATCAAGCTCACTCAATACTTAGTCTTAGTTTCCCTCAGTCATAATGGTTCTTAAGTTTTAGTCATAATGGTCATAATGGTTCGTTTTAATCATAATGGTTCGTCTCTCGTTCTTTGAGTTCTTGCAGTTTTTTCAGCATCAGTAGTTCATTAAGTGTGCCTTGGGTGCACAAGTGACAAATGATTTACCCTTAATGACATCGGCATCAATATCCCCAGACCTTACCTCTAGAGGCTTCTTTTTATAGGGTGACTGAAAAGTCAAGTTTTTAATTTGTTGATGGTAAAAAAAAAATTCACTGATTTCTATCTACCAAACTCTATATAAAGCGGGATTTTTATAAATATGTATGTATGTGTATTATACGAATCTGCAATTCTGAACCAACCTGGACAAAATTTAGTGTAAATACGATTCAAAGATACGGTGGTTAAAACTCTCTCCGACCATCGATTCTTGCGCTACATCAAAAATAATGAGTTTTTCATAAGATTTGATAGATATTTTATGTAGAGTCATGATGGCTCAGGGGAGAGAGCGTTCGCCTTCCAATGAGGTAAACCGGGTTGGAATCTGAGCGATGGCTGGTCGATACGAATTCCGCATCCAGCTCGCACCGACCACGGTGCTGACGTGAAATATCCTCAGTGGTAGACGGATCATGGGTTAGAGTCCCCTTGCCGTCAGGCTAAGGGAGGTTCTCGAGGTCTTCTTTTCCGTGTAACGCAAATGCGGGTTAGCTCCATCAAAAGTCCTCCAAGAAAGCAAATTTATCCCAATACTTTATCCAGGAGTTCCTTTGTTTTCTGAATTGGGTTTTAAATCACAAGGCCACGGAGTTATACATTACTAATCGTAAATCCAAAAAATTGGGTCGCTTGTTCAACAACAGTTATAAAATATGAAATAAAATATTGTTTAGCAAGAGGGATTTTTTTAGCTTATCGTCTAAGTAATAGATTCACATTTAAACCAAAACATTCATTGCATTCACTTTCAGTGTGGAAAATTATAAATAATATGTTGTTAATTTTAATCTCTTTTAATAAAATTTTGAAATTTGTTGGTCACGCTTTTTTTGCATATTTAACAGCCCGTGTCAACCCTGCTATTAGGAAATGACCAGGAGAAATGGCATTATACCAAATAATGAATATAATTAATCTTTTTTTTTTAGGATGAATTTCCAAAAACATGTTTTGCTTAATCTGATAACATAAAGCAACATGGGAGGGCAAAAAATAATAAGAAATTGGAATTGTTTCAGTTTAATTAATTATGTTGGTATATGTCTTTCAATTGTGTGCATGATTTCGTAGTGTTGATTAACACATATTTTCTTTACTTCAACTGATAATAAAGAGTGGGTGCACAGCTAGTATGCTCACAAATAAAGGAAATATATCTAGAAGTTGAAACTGATCATCCTAAATTTAAGTGACAGTAATTTCCGACAGCCACATTAAACGCTTATCCCCACTTATTACATTTTTCATGGTTTTGAACACCTTGTCAATCAAATTTACTTTACTTACTCAAGAATCAAAAATTATTTTTCTTACACTCAAGGCGTCCTGTAGTCCCTCAATGCTATAGTGGTATATAAATTTTTGTAATAGAATGATTTTTATGCTCTTGATAAGTTAATTTGAAATATTCCTGATCAGCACTTTAATCAGGGCTGCCAACTTTTACGCTTTTTAAAAAAAATAATTTTAAAGTGTGGTAAACAACTAAAAACTAAAGCGTTCAGTATTTTTGATAATTTTCCAATTATGTTTAATGCCTCCTTACTAGAAAAAAGTGGTGTTTTTTTTAACCTTTGAATCATTTACATGTAGTGATGTAGAAAATAACTTAAATCAAATTTAGAAATTAAAAAATAATACCAACATAACTACAACTTAGTTAACATAAACTTTGCCACAAATAGAAATTTCTTTCCAAAAAATTCGTAGCTCTGTATAACTCGATGACTTAAACAAATGTAAAAAAAATTTTTTTTCTGGTTGGACATTTATAACATTTAGGTAAGTGGTTGCTGAACCAGATAAATTTAAAATCGTTTGTTAAGTTAATTACCTCAACAGCAACTTTTGGGGACCACTTTCCGCCCTGCGCCCTAAAAAATTTTTTTCACAACCGAAGCAAGTTGGCATCTACCTTGCTGCAGTAATTTATTACATTTGTGCTTATTAATTAAAATCCTATCCAACAATATTTTGTATATAAGAATTCCTTGTTTATTAAAATTTTACATGACAATGAAAATCCTAGCAGTAATTTTACAATTATTATATTATCATAATAAACGTCATTATAGTGGTTTATTTGAAATTTCATAAATAAAAATTTTAAAAATTTAAAACGTTTAATTTTTTTAATATGTATTATTTATTTCTTGAGACTAGGATTGACTTCACTTGACGGTATGCTTCCCAAGCGAATGGCCTCGGTAGATGATTATCTTTCTACAGGACCTTTATGTAGATATTCTGAAGATCTAGCTACTATGTTAAATGTTCTCTCAATGAGCAAGAAAAACCTGTGTTTACTGCCTCAGGTAACGTAATTAATCTTCATAGTTAATAATTAAGTTATTTGATATTTTCCCATGGTGTTAGGTACTTTCACTGTAACATATTTTTAGATTATTTGACGAAAATATAGTCATGAAAGGCCTTTACATGTGGGTCTGGGGGTTCACAGGGAGTTCACTGGGTGAATTGGCCGGCCAGATCGCGAAGTGGCGTATGATGGCTGGCCACATTCTTTTTTTGATTTCGGGAATTGACCGGCTATAATTACATTTATTCGATGATATAATTACATTTATTCGATATTTCAATGCGTAGTGACGATAGATTACATTTATTCGATATGTTAATACTTACTGACGATAGATTACATTTATTCGATATTTCAATGCTTACTGACGATACATTACATTTATTCGATATTTTAATACTTACTGACGATAGATTAGAAGAGAAATACCAGGCAAATGCATACCGGGCAGTGGCACTGAACCTTAAAAAAACATCAGTGTAGGATATACCGGGCAAATGTATATCGGGAAGAGGCGCTGAACCTTAAAAAAAAATATCAGTGTAGGGTATACCGGGCAAATGTATACCGGGCAGTGGCACTGAACCTTAAAAAAACATCAGTGTAGGGTATACCAGCCAAATGTATACCGGGCAGGGGTACTTGACCTTAAAAAAACATCAGTGTAGCGCATACCGGGCAGGGGCACTTGACCTTAAAAAAACATCAGTGTGGGATATACCGGGCAAATGTATACCGGGCAGTGGCACTTAACTAGACCTAGTATGACTAGACCTTTGGTAAATGTCCGAAATATATACTAGGTCTAGTTAAGTGCCACTGCCCGGTATACATTTGTCCGGGCATTCTTGAATGCGCACATCACGTTTTGGCCGGAAAATCGTGACCACTTCGCGAAATGGCCGGCCAAAGTGCGAAATAATTGATCGTTTCAATTATTTTGCACTTTGGCCGAGAGGTATGGCCGATTCGCGAAGTAACCGGACTTCGGGCTTTGGCCGTGACATATATATTAAAACCATCAAATAAGTTTATTTGACCGATATAACTGGAAAGTTCGCATGAAGAACTCCAGTAGAATAGACATTTGAGGTTGATGGAAATCAACTTTAGAGCAATAAGCTTAGAGAAGTTGTTTTTGAGGTGCTCGAATTATTTTTTTTACACTTCAAGCAAATACCTATATTAGAAATGTGAATAATTTCCCTCGATCTCACCTAAAATTATTTCTGAGTTATATATAAGCTTGATTTTGTGAGGTGTAAATGAGATTGAAATTGAGGTTTATTAATGAGGATAGTTTTGTTGCAAAACATAACCTCATTTTCTACCTCAAGTGTAATTTTTTTTACATCCGGCAAAATCAAAAACACCTTATTTTTTGTAAGGGGGTATAATCCAGTAAGGAAGGTTTTAAGTTAAACAAAATATCACAGGTATTTTTATAGCTTTCTCTTTTCTGGTATATAGGTTAAATTAAAGAAGCTAAAAGTATATTATCAGACCCACCTAAAATATGCTTGGTGTGTCAACACAGAGAGTGAAGTTGCTCAAGCTGTTCGAAAGGTAAGTCGAAATCATAGCTGCCAACTTTTAATTATAAAAATAAAATAAAAATAAAATAAAATTATATTTTTATGTTTTAAACGGTAGTAAACTTTATGTCTTACATTTATTTCTTAGATTTTTAAGTTTCATTTAAAAAGGATTTTGACCACCTCTCTACGCAAATATGTTAAACTTATATATAAATGTATGGTAATCATTTGATAGCGTGTTTAATAATTCAACATTAATAAATCTTCAAGATAATATAGTACACGAAAGGAGCTGTAAAAGACTTCTATCTTGCCGAAAGGCATCGAGGAACCATATAACTATAACTAGGATAATGTAAATATAAACTAACGAAATGAAAAGTATATTTCTATGACTATAAATGTAATTAAATGTTCTCTTTACAACCACGGAGAAAGTTGGCATGTATGCAAAGAGGTTCATGTATTTAAACAACACGCTTTAGAAGTAAAAGATGCCCTCCAATAACTATGAATTTCAGTATTTGAAAAAAAAACGCGTCCAATGGCAGCAAAAGTGATGTCAGATAATTTGTAGTTAGGGCCATTAACAGCTATAACGCACCATGAACTTAATATAAGTACCATGTCTCCTGTTCAAACTAGCAGGTCCTTTTGATTACATAAATACATACATATNAATTAAAATTTGAAGAGAAAACTTGTTTTCAGATCTATTAGATCCTTCATGATATATATATATATATATATATATATATATACTAGAGGGCTCCGCCCCCTGCTCGTTGCCGCTCACCAACCCACGATAATTGCTACGCAATTACATTTCTGTTCGCTTCTCGAACAAACTTAAAGTCGTTTTCCTGGAGATAAGCTGGAAATTTTTCATCCTCCATTATAAACTTATAATAAGCTTATTATAAACATTTTAAACTTATTTAAAGCAATCCTAATACAAACAATATTACAAACTTATATAAAGCGAGGAAGCAATATTATTTAACACATTACTATAGGGCATTAGCCGGAGATTAATCTTCGTATTCGAAGCACGTGTGGCAGAGCCTAACTCAAATCATTGTTGATCTTATAGGATGCCGGACGCTCCCTATATGGTGCTTCATCCCCCCCCCCAGTAATTTAAAATTTAAACTGAAAACAATTAAAACCTGATGAAAAAAAACTTTAAAATATGGCAAACAAATAAAAACATGTAATGTTAATAAGTTGATGCTAAGTAATGTTTCAAAAGCAAATACAATTGCAAGTAATTGCCCAATTAACTTCAATACTGTCAACTGACAAAATATTTTAGTTTCAATCAGACAAAAGGCACATTATATAATAAAAACATAGGTTACTGAAATTCGACAAATTAAATTAAGCAGTTCAATTTTTTTTGTCATACTGAATACTAATAAAATAATTAAATATCAAATGAATTAATTATTATGTTATCAATGATCAATAAGCATTTTTGTCAGAATTGTTATAAGAAATATGTACTATATTTGAGAGTGCCCCTTGATTCTCGTCAAGTTGTGATCGCGGTTGATCGCCAAGCACGGCGATGTTGAAGCCCAATCGTGATTCCGATAGGTTTAGATTTCAGCTTTATTGTTAAATGTTCAACAGTATATATAATTTCAGAGGTCCGTTAGTTCTACGTTGAATACCGGCTGGTAAGGTTACTTTTGCTTCTGGTCCATAAGATGGAAGGTATGTGGGTAGTCATAAAAAGGGACAATAAAAAAAATGTCACCGCCAGTCCGGTACCACAGACGCCATTTTCGATTCGTATTATGTGGCGATGGAGGCACACAGATTCTATTCATGATAAATTTAGACAGTATCTAACTGCTATTAGATAATGGAACAATATCTAACTGCTATTAGATAATCTGAGGATATTCAAGCTTAATGAAGGAGTTTTTTTTTTCCTTTTCTTTGTGTGCTTATTCCATTGATTTTTGTTTCGATTCAAAATTCATTTTATTGTGTTAATTAATTTTGCTTATATTGGGTACATTACAATTTTATAAAGTTTCGGCTACCATTCTTGTTACCACAGTGTTCCGCGCAAACAGGAATGGCGCCAAACATAAGTCGCCAATTTCGCCAAGGGGTACCCTCAAGTATATTTTTACCCAAAAAAATAAGGTGAAAACAATAAAATTAAGGTTATTTACAATGGATCTCTGAATATTCACAAAACCTAGCTATGTACATTTTTCATTGATCTTTCTTTTCACATTATTTTGTGAACCAATGATTTGCACTTTTATGCATTATTTATGAAATATCTCAAATATGAAGTGCTAATTAATATTTCCGACTGAACAGTTTTTTGAAAGTAAGTAAAAAACAATTAAAAGTAAGTAAAAGCTATTCACGCCTAAAATATTCACGGCGATCCATTTTATGTAACAAAGACAGTGGCGTACGCAGAATTTTTTCAAGGGGGGGGGGTTCATAATTTTCAGAAATTACTGAAAGAAATTCGAGTATGTAATAAAGCGCTATTACTTCCCTAATTTAGACAGCTAGACAATTTTGACTTTTTATTTCGACAACATTGTTTAGTTAAATTTTGTTTTTATTTTTTAAGTTTAAGAATATAATATTTTTTATAATAAGAGGTAAACTATTTTATTTTTATTAAAAAGTAGGAATAAATCAAGCCAGAAAAAACTACTCATACTGTAACAGCTACCTAAATAATAACCATATAAATGTGAATATTCCATAGAAAACCAATGAATTTAACTAAAAAATGACTTACCAACAAATAGGGAATTAAACCAGTATACAAACACGCTAAAAATTTATTGATTTATACTGTAATATCCAAACGACGGGGTTTTTTTGCAAGTTCGTTTAAAATGTCTTCGACAGCTGGGGTAAATTTTCTATGAATGCTTAAGAGCGCCAATCCATTCATTCTATTATTTCCCGTTGAGTTGCGTAAATAAGTCTTCAAACGGCGCAAAGTCGAAAAGGATCTTTCGTTTGCACTCGTTGAAACAGGTAGAACGACCAATATTTCTAGGAGTTTGAAAATTTAACAC